TATCTTATCTACTCATTGTTTGCTGTCTGGTTTACCTGGGACAGCTGACAGTCTTTAAAGACTTAATAGTATATAGAAGACTCCATTTCCAGGACTGGCACTTGGACTATTGGTCTAAATAAAACCAGGCATCTTTGACAATGATTCAAAATCCTATCTTCTGGGGATAGTGTATGGTTACTTAGAGAAAGAGGGAAAGAAATGTCTTCCCAGATGTATCAGTATGTAAACATAGCCTTACAATAAAGTAGAATTATCTCATGTAGTCATTGTTTGCTGTCTGGTTTATCAGGGAGTCTGACAGTCTTTGAAGACTCCATTTCTGGGACTGGCACTTGGAATTTTGGTCTAAATAAAGCCAGGCATGATTGATGGTGATTCAGAATCATATATTCTGGGCGTAATATATGGATACTTAGAGGACGAGGGAAACAAATGTCTCTAGAGAAGGTATCTCAATCATCTGAATAAAATTAAGCACTGCATCAGTGAAGGGTTTACATTTTCTCTTTCTGCAGTGGAAGAGCAGCGTGAATTAGACCCACTGAAAAAGAGTTGTACAGTTTATCCTTGTTGGTTTATCTCCAGAGGACCTCCAGATCTTGGGTTGGCAATTGAATTTGGTCCATATCAGCCTTCAGTATTTTCTAGGTATAGTGCATGGATACTCATGGGAAATTAAAGGAACATATCCTTAGAGACTTTATCACAATCTTCTGTAGAGAATAAGGAAATCACGTTTCAAAGATGCAGTCTGCTCTATGTTCTTAATGGCAAGGAACATAGTTTTCAAGAATTCTACAATTTTTCCCAGCGACATGATATATATCACGTTCTTTGCTCCTTCAAAACACTGCCATGATGAATGGATAAAGAGATGGAGTGAAAGGCACTTGGAGAAGACAAGGCAAGTAATGAAGGAAGAACAAGTCAAGGTAAAGGTGAAGAGATCTTTTGGTCCATGTTTTATAAAAGGAGCACATGGAACAGAGGTTCACTGAATGACTTACTAGCATACACACACATTCACCCTCAGAGAGAAACATGTTGGCTTTTCTATTTCTACAGCGCTTGATTTACTTACATCTCCATTCTCTAAATTATGGTATTATAGATCATGTTTCTTACGTATAGAGATACAGGCAAAGAATCCATGAGGGGGAAAAAGTTGTGCAGAATTACCTGGCCAGGAAAGGCAATTAAGCCCATCCATCACTGCTGAGGTCTTGACTTGTTATTTCCAAAAAGATTGGGTGTGTGGTATAGAACTGTATTCCTTCTTTTTTTTCCTACAAGGGGAAGGACAAAATCCAGGTCTCCTGGAACAGTGGGGAGAAAGGAATTAAACTAATACATTTTTCAAACCATCTGTAATAGTGGATGCTTTGGGTGACCATAAATTAATCTCATTCTCTCTCTCAAGTGAGTTTATATTCTTTTTTCTTGAGAATCTCAGATAATACCCTCTTTGCTACACAAAATAGTCTTCAGTCCTTTTGTTACTTTTTCCCTATAATTTGGCTTCACTAAATCATTCAGTTCTCTTTTCATTTCCTCTCAACCACCTCTTCCATGTCATCTATAAATATTCTTCTCCTTTTTCAATCATTGTTTTTCTATCATTCTCTGTTATTTCATTATCAGCATTTTACTGCTCTCTTCTTTTGATAACTAACAATACAAGAAGTGTTTCTACACAGAGGTACGGGAATCTGTCATCCCAGAATTCCAAACTCCCAAGTTCTAACCTGTATCAAAATACTTTTCCTCTAGAGTACAAGTTCCAAAAATGTCATTACACATTTCAGAATCCCCAAATGTCCTCCTATTTTCCAACGGTGGCAAATTTCACACATTACAGGTTTTGGCCTCATGTTTTGTGCAATTCTAGTGATGGGCCTTTAGAAATCATAACTGACATTCAAATATTTATCCTTAAGTGTCTTATTAAACTACCATAGCTATGCACACCTTTCGTAAACTTCATGTGAAAATCTAGACTTATGTTCTTTGTGTTGCAATCACAATTGTAGTATCTGAAAAATGTCAAAGGTAGCTTAATCTTGATTCAATGAAGTGTCCATGTTTTCTCTTTTTGTAGCAGAAGGAGAACATGAATTTGACCAACTGTACAAGAGCAACTGAATTTATTATTGTTGGATTGCCAAGTGTTTCAGGAATGGATAACATGATGTATGCTAGTGTGTTTCTGCTCTACCTCCTGTGTCTGATGGGCAACGGGCTCATCATTGTGATGGTAATTGTGGATCACCATCTCCAGAAGCCCATGTATTTCTTCCTTAGCAACCTTTCAGTCATTGACATTGGACACACTACAGATTTTATTCCTAAACTGCTGGTCAATTATCTCTCTGCAAACAATTCCATCTGTTTCTACTGCTGTATGGCACAGTTGTACTTTTATTTCTTTTTTGGGGTGACAGAATATTTTATCATCACTTTGATATCCTTGGACAGATACCTAGCCATCTGCCATCCTTTGAGATATGCCACTATCATGACTTCTGGAGTCTGCCTTAAACTGGCAGTAGGTGCCTGGTGTGGAGGCTTTTTCTCCATTCTTTATCAGATAATAATTGTTGCTAAACTACCCTTCTGCACCTCTAATATTATCAATCATTTCTATTGCGATGTGGGACCTCTGTTGAAGATTGCAGGAGGAGATATACGGGTCATTGAAGCCCTCGGTTTCCTAATTACCGTGCTTGTGGTTATGTCCTCCATGCTTTTCACCCTCATCTCTTACCTCTTCATCATTTCCACCATTCTCCGAATGCCTTCAACCTCTAGGCAGCAGAGGGCCTTTTCGACATGTGCTTCCCATCTGATTGTAGTCACCATTTTGTATGGCTCAGTTTTTTTTTTTTGTTTATTTAAGACCAACTGTCAAGAACTCTTCCTATAGTAAGATGAAGTCTGTTTCTGTTGTGAATACTATAGTCGTTCCAGTGCTCAATCCTTTCATTTACACCATTAGGAACCATGAAGTGAAAGAAGCAGTTTGGAAAGCATTAAGAAAAAAGACTCCAGCTTTCCCTAAACTCTAAACCTAGACCTGTGTGGAGAAGCAATCCTGTACTTGAAAATGAGGAGTGGGAGAAGTATCCATTAGAGATATTATACCATTATTTTAGCTTGCCTAAGTCATAAGGATGGAAGAAGAAGGAGGTCAATGCTTGTAACCCAGTGTTTGAAACTGTGATGCTAGCATCCATTGCTCAGTCAAGGTTGAGTCTCAGGGAGGGTTTATAATGAAATGATAGCTTTTTAATGTTCTTAATTGCTTATGAAGATATATCAAATTTCTCATTATTCTATACTGGCAGGATATTGATCTACTTTTTGGGTTCCTTTCTTTCAAACTTTGACCTGTGGGACCTTTGTCTTCCTACTGTAGTTTATTGAAGGAACATCATTGGAGTCACAGGAAAAATCATAATGTGATGTTTGGAAAAATGCAAGAGATGAGTTTCAGTGCTGTCAATGTTTCAGAATACCTTTTAGATTTGATCTGTAACTAAAGGATCATGACCTTGTATGAAAAGTGACTTTCATAGTAAGAAACATGGGGCTTCAATTTTGAGGATGGTAGGGAAGAAAGAGTGGTTTCGCAGAAATGATTGAGAGAAGTTGGCAACTCCCAAAATTCCACACATTTTCTGAGTAGAGCTAGCTCAAGTTGAAGATCCATGGCTGCATATGTCATTAACACTTTTTAACATGTATCAATATTTCTATTTCATAGAAATCCCCCTGCCTTTTATTATTTTTTTTTATCTTTGCATTTATATCAACCTTCCCAATCTGGTGCTATCCCTAAAGCGTAGGCCTGTGACTTCCCTCACTTTATGCCAACATGGGCAAATAGTTCTGGAAACACCTTCTTATAATAAACACCAGACAGCACAGGGCCTTTTCTACCTGTGCTTCCCATCTGATTGTAGTCTGCATTTTGTACGGGTCAGTCTTTTTTGTCTATTTAAGACCTAATGTCAAGAACTATTCCTTCAGTATGATCCCAGAGTTGAAGGGGGCATTTGGGCCATTGAATTTCACCTTCTGCCCCCACTTTGGTGCAACCTAGTCTTTACATAAATACAATCAGGCATGAGGAGACAACCTTCTTAAACACTCATAATCAGGGGAGATATGGGAACACAACATTGAATGCATCATGACCTCATACAATATATAACACAATTATGTACTACAGTTCATTGGATGATAACAACATAATGATTTTGGTGACTTCGAAATGACAACCAAAATGCTGGCTGGGGAATTCTTGTAGTTTCCGAAGTTTAAAAAACACCTCAGAGAAGTGTCAAACTTCTGATTCCCTGAATTATCTTGCCCTTCCCTTCAACACCTGAATGGGATTTCAAATTTGTGAGTCCTGAGGATACCTCAGTAAATGTCTTCACCTTGAATTCCAAGGAAAAATGAATGTGGAAAAAGGGGAAGTGGGAAGAAAATCATTCTTGGAATCATCTCCAGTCAGTTCCTTCACTCTTTTTCTGAGACTTTGAAGACTGTTTATAATGGTCTGTGGGAACGACATTGGGAGACAAGCGGAAGAGATGCTGCCTAGATAATAGTCAGATAAAAGGGGGAGGAGCCTGCTTCTGAATAATGGTCAAAGAAATAAACTTAAAAAGGTCCTCCCAAATGTATCAGTATGTTAAAAGTGACGGTGGGAGTTTAGTATTTCAGAGTTGCACGATTCTGTACACATA